TTCGACAAGCCCGCTCCAACGGCTCGCCGAAATGCACCATGCCCTGCAATTAATAGATAATAAATCACAAACGGCAAAGCGGACTCCGATTTCCGGTGAACCCCTATTTGACGCTATGGCCTACTCGCTCACTCATTCGGCCCGATTTTATCCGACAAACTTCGATTCGCCAATCACTTTCGATATCGAAGGTTTCTTTTGTTCAGTCTTCTAGGAGGGAGCTCTGTAGCGCCCCAAAAGATAACTATTATCTGTTGTGTAGAAATCCATTGATGACGAATTGCACATTATTCTTTCTTGTTTTAATCTCCCTTAACTTACGGCCATGTTGACCTACACCCGGCTCGTCATTTGACTGCACTAAGTTGCCACGCTGACGTTTCGATCCTGTCTCGCTTCATTCGTCCACCTCTTTTGTAGCCCATCGAATATAGTCCATTGTGTCCGACTTCAATTACCTTCTGATATCCGGCTTCATTACGCGTGGCGTCTCGGAGTATTATTTACTAGTAGTACAGATTTTATATTTCATTCAAAGTGCAGCATACCTCAGTAATTAAATTCGAGGTGTGTTCTGGACTATCGTGTTGAATTACTTATTTCTATTTCAACATTTGGACATATAACATCAAGATGAACCGTCGGCTAAAGACTAGAACACTGCTAAATGTGTCACAAATATATTCAATGCAGCACGGATATCTAAGAAAGCAACGATGGTATGTCTCCGGTAGAGGTGGTGGTGTTCGAAGATTTGGCGAAGCGTGAAGATTTGATCCACACGCCCACGGACAGATGGAAGCTATCCTGTTCTTCGCGGTACAGTGATACACGAATTGGCGATAGCGTATGAGGTTGAATAGATGCTAATAGCTTAGAGGCCACCGAAATGAGACTGGTGCACCGGTGATTAGTGCATGAAGTGCGAGCACTCTTCTTAAAAATCAGGGCAATAACTGATTCTCTCCAAGAGGAAGGCACCTTTATTTTATGCCAGATATTTGAAAACAATGTAGTTAGCTGGCTGATGATAACCGCGCCTCCATATCTGAACATCTCTGTCTGAGCCAGCAGCCTTGAATCGTTTCAAGCGTCGAAACGCAAGGCACACTTCCACTTCGTTGGATGGATCAAGTGTGACGACCCAGGGCGGGCAGCTGGATTCTCAGGGCACACAGGTGGACGATAAGGGCCAATTAAACTGGGAATAGAACGGTTCTGCCTATCGATCCAAGCGTCTCTGTAGATTGGCAAGCAGAGAACCATTCGCCTTGTAAATACACACACACACCAGGTTTTCTGTGGCCAATGAATCGAATGAGATGGAAGAGCTTACGACCATTGCCAGAGAGAGAGGCGGTCTCCACGCTGGGACCAGCAAGCTTTACGATCACTGCATAGGTTTTGAGCTGCCAACTGACAGAACGGTGCAATTCATTAGATTGGACTCCGCTGGGAGGCTGCTGGATAAGCTTTGGCCGCTGCAGTCGAGTCTTCTGCTCAGTAAACCGAAGACGACGGCGAGAAAGAGGTCCCTTGTAGGAACGATCCTCATAGTTTTCGGGTGCGTACTCACAGTGGCATGCTTTCTAATGAGGCATGGGGTAAACATCCGCTCGCAGCGTTCTAACAGAGCGATCATTCTCGTCTTCCAGTGTCTCCAGCCTATAAATTTTTGTAGCATAATAATACAGGCAACAGACTAAGCACCTCTTGCATTTCAAATGTACGATGCTTGGAAAGCTTGTGCACTGGCCTGCTCAAGTAGCTTTCCGGAAAACCCTTATCTCAAATGAACCATCCTCCTGTCTCTTTAACCAAACAGCTAGGAAAGCAAGCTTACCGTCAATTTCCATTTCGCTGGTGAAATTCAACGACGGATGTGTATCGCTGAAATCAGCTGGCAGACGGGCTGCATCGACAGACAATAAATGTCGTCCATTTATCGTCAATATGCATTAAGCGCAGAGATGACAGGCTGCAGTAGCCAAAGCCAATCCAGCAGCCTGCCCGCATGTCGTAGCACAGACTACCCCGCTTATTACCTAATGCCTTAAAGACAGGTTCCCGGTTTACTCATAATCGTATACTCTATACAAATTCACCTGCAGCCAGCGGTGCAAGGTAAATTGGACATACATCTAGGTGTCAAAACGGAAAGCTGTGCACTGCTATGGGCTGGAAGATTTAGCAGTTTCAAGACATCACGGACAACGCTAGTCTTCATCAAAGTAAATATTCCGGTTTCAGTGAGAAAACTAAGACCAAGAAAGTGATGGGTTAAGAATTTTTCGAGTAAACTCTCATTGGAGCAAAACGTTTACATGGCAGAGATTAGATGCTGTTCGCGTTAAACTGGGCTGGGAAACTGATTAATGCCTCGTTTGAATAGTCAAACCGATAGCTCAGGGCTAAGCTGTGGATGGTAAGCAAAGTAAAAATGATAAAAAATATCACATAAAGCTCGTTACCACAATCGGCTTAGGTGACAACCAAACGGTTATATAACAGTGTCTGTTGGCCAAGATAGTAGTAATGGACGTATGTACTGTTTTTGAACGCATAATTCGGGCTCCAAATGTTGGAGATATATATTCTCAACAATGGACAGGAACTGCTTGCGGAATCCTTGCATGGAACATTCAGGTAGTAACTCTATATGACTTTGAAGTCATCCACAGAGTCTGTGTGACCAAAAGCAAGGAGGCGTGACATACTAGAGCTGTTTGAGGACCTCATCTCGCCTTTGTAGAACCAGGTCAGGATGTGCACGCGAATCCACTGAGATAGATGCCTCACAGTGCGGCCCACGTATCGTGCACCACAGAAGCACGGGTACTGGTAAACGGACATTGCTCTTACTGAAAAGTGATCTCTTTGCAACCCTGTGCGCTTATTGGCTTTGTCTAGTCGCGCGCTTTCAGTGCTTTCTGGCTTCATGTTATATACACAGTACCTAAATAATGCCTCTGCTCATTCTTGTCCTCACTCATCATCATTCGTTATACACGCTAGCTGCAGATGGAAAACGCCTCAGCTATAATGCCGCAATACAAAAGAAAAAAAAGTGAAACAGAGGCACACTGGCTGAGTCACCAGTAACGGATGGACATTGTTCCGGAGAGCTAACAACCGGCCATTGTGCCGCAAAGTCATATAATGCCGACTAATCGTGTCCTCACTAATGTTAGTGGGTGAAAGCAGTCGCATGGTCGACAAAACGCAAAGCCTGTACGCCTTGCTTGTTACGAGACGACTCGTTTGTGCGTTGCTTGTCACAACCGGGGAAGTTGTGCTCTTTCTCACAGCCTTTGTTGCAAACTGCTTCAGCGTTTCTGTATAACCTATATCTCTACTATGGTCACTGAGCGTTCACCTTGGAGTAGACAGCTGGAACGGTGCATGGATGACTGACCGGTTGCGCGATATTACTTGCTTTGAGTGTAGCCGTATGTAAATAACCCTAGCGCATCAAAAATGCATCCAATAGAAGACTGAAATCTATTTCACTTTCCCGTCTCTTTCCTAAATGCAGTTTTCTGCCAGTTTCGTTTCATTTTCACAAGTCACTCTCCTGGTTAGGAAGATCGATGAAATTAGATTCGAGGCATGGCAACAGCCATCCGAGTGAAATGAAAAAAGCATCCGAAGCTGGGCGAAAGTGACTCAGACGAGCGAGAGGGAGTGGAAGCGCGTGACAGTGTAGTAAAATAGGCTGCGCAGTGGGTCATAATCACTATTAAAGCAGTACATCAGTCATATGAACTGATGCTTCGCTACCGCATAACCGCAATACCTGGGGAATAAAAATTAACAAGAATAGGGACCCAAGGGAAGCTGGTTGCGTCAAGGAGGAAGTAGGGCCAATAGCAGCGCCGTTTTGGCCCATATTGTCGACACCGGGCACTAAGCTGATTTAAATCGTGCCTTTAGGATAATTTACAGGGTCCTCCAGCATCAATCAAGAGATTTGCGCCTCCGTGCACTCGCAACAGCTGAACCGATTTGCATCCGGTTGTTTCAACCTTCTTTATGCTCGTAAAAGAAGTTGATCCATGCCGTACAGCTTCCCTGGCCAGCTAGGACGTACGATGCTGAGGTCGACTGCTACAGATCAAGCTCAGTACCATGCAATCGACCTGCTAGGTCAAAGGTCAACTTTTAGCCTCCCTTACTGAACCGTTAATGAAGTATGTAATTTGAGTCAACGGGTCGATTTCAGTTACTTATTTTACCCTTAAATATGATTGTAATGGTCTGAAGAGAATCATCGAAAACAATTGTGCACCTATGGTTTCGTGTTCTTTTTTGACTTTTGGATTACAAGACAGAAGCCTAATCTCCTCAGCAACCGACCGAATAAAGAGTAGCTAATTTTCCACCAGGTAGCACCTTGACGTTTGTATCGCGAGGTTCCGCAAGGTAGTGGTGTCAGCAAATTACCTCGATTCCGTCAGAAACTTTGTGGCTCCGATGTACACAACAAGGTATTTGGGGAAGAAATTGCAAACAAATCAATAAAAAAGTAAACGAAGCATAGTCAATGCACGACGTCGTTTTAGTTTCACTTTAAGCCCAGCGTCAGTAGTGTGCGACGTCGCAAGTACGGAGTCCGGAGTGTCCCAGATCAGTTAGCAGAAAAGTTGTAACTAATTGCTCGCATGCCTGCGACAAACCATCTAAACGCTCACTTAGCATTCACTCTGAGCACAACTGTAGCTCACGACACAATATCTTTGATCTCAAATAGTTCAAAGAGAGTAGAAAATCATCCCCTTTTTGTCTAGGCGAAAAAAAGCTTAAAATGGAGCAGGAGAAAAACGTGTTATGAAAGTTCTGAACTCCCCTCATAGAGGTAAATAATAAAAATGCGTATCAAAAGAGCGCAAATTAAATCATGTCAAGTGGACATTATGAAGGATCGATGAGGGATTGGACGGGAAAGGAAGCGATGCAAGAAGCTGTCTGCAAAGGAAAGACGGTAAGCAATGCGAACAAGTCCCGAAACTCGTTACCCCACGAGATCGATGCGGGGGTTGTCACAATCAACGTTTGGCGTCCAGCGACTTGGAGAGTATTTTGTCCACATCCATGGAAGCCAAATTGAGGATCTGCGTAAATCAATTAGGAGGGGAATTAGCATATGCAATAGAAAAGAATCAATCGAGAGAAAACAAAGGGAGCACGTACAGTATCTCCACCACATGGAATCACAGTAGACGTAACAACGAGGCTGCTGCCAAAGTGAACATCTAGAGCACATGTGCGAAAAGCGAAGTCAGCGCTTACGTGAGAAATACGGAAAGTGTTTGCAACATAAATGAACGACGATACATGCTAAGGAAGTAAAAGGTTACCGATGAAGTCCTATGGATTGCAAGCTATTAGCAAAAAGTATGTTGGGCAGTTCAAAACCGAAACTGAAGCAGTAATTTTCATAGCATCTGTGTGATATTCGCTCCGACACGCTAATCCCCAGTAATGATGCTGCGCTGTGGTGCAAAAGATGTGTGTAAAGAACAGAGAACAACAAAAGGTACGATGCATCGTGCGAGAAAACATAGTGAGAGCAGATGTGACTTGGGATTATTAATTAAACAGATTGGAGATCAGGGTGGTATAACAAGACAGAGCGATCAAGAGTGAACATTGGGAGTCGTGAACAACATCAGCAAGAGAAAGCGGTGGCTACATTGTGACCGCACAGCATTACATGGAGCAAGATGGAATGCTTCGAAAAGATTCAGGACAAAATGGAACAGCAGTTGAGAAAAACCAGTCCAGTTTAGTTCAAGTAAACAATTATGGTCATCAGTCGCAGAAAGAAACCTCTCACTTGACTGTACCACTGATCCAAAGAACAATGGTGTATTCAAGCCCGTACCCTAAAGGTAACAAGCTTGTCTGGTAATCTGACGGCGTGGGTTCAAGCCTGCGTAGGGGCATGGAGACCTTCGCAGTATCCTTAGTCCGAGCGGCAGTGGCTGCGCGGCAGCGAAGCGTCGGTACTGTGTACCAGCGTACTGCTGATGCATTTTCTTTTTCTTTTTTCAAGATTAGGAGAAGAGTCAATTTGGTATGGCAATGAAAACAGGTTACTTTAACCACCGCTAGAGAAGGAGCTTTTCAGCACGGCTAATACGAATCTGATATAGAAGGTCCGAATGATACCGTCACCACGACAGCAGCTAAGATGATTTCCATGCTACGAGGGAAATTCACTTAAGTAGGTGGATCGAAAGCCATTAATTAGATCGAGTGGATCAAAGTGACTGTCAGATCCAACCATGGCGACTTTAGTAAACCAATCAATTGCTTCCAACCTGACATGCAGCTGTAGCCGCGCAGCACAGGACAAATGCGCAGGGCCCGAAGGAAAAGGAACATACCGTGGTGCTCAAGAATTTCGACACAAGCGCCGTGCATATAACTAGTGAAGAATCCTGGGTTCAACAAGCGATGTAAACAGAATTGTGGGAATAATGATGTGATATGAAGTTACTAGAATGAACACACTGCAGTAAAAGACTCACCTTTCCTTGTGATCCGCTCTGGCAGGGGGAAAGAAACAAGGCATAAAATGTTCCAATCATCAGAGTGAAAGGTAGGTGGGGATGTACTGTAAAACCGGATTCTTTGTGAACGGATTCAAAAAGACTGCCGCAACATATGTCGACAAGGTAAATTGGTAAGACGCGGATGGAAAAGCAAACAAGGCAATAAGGGGATCGTAACGCCATAGGTGAAAACACCTTGAGGATCTTTCATGATGGCTATTACTATGATTTTATGCTGCGCACGTCGCATCAAGAATGCATGGTAGATGCAGAAGATAAAACAGATAGAATACTAAGCCGAACGCAGACCAATATAAGTTCTCTAACTCATTTTTGGATCAACGTGTGCTGGATACTACTTTTACCTCAGATTACTGTGTTATCAGCGTTTTATCTGTGTGAATTGTGCACCATTATTCTTCTTTTGGCGTATTTTCCGAGCGGTGCAAATTTGGGAGCTATTCTTTGGCTAATTCCGGAGATCTCACTGATTTGCCATACTACCATCTCTGTCCGCCATCTTAGATTTGCTCTAGCTTGTGATGCCGTCTCAAGCTACTTGTGGTTCGTGTTCGAAAGTTGTGGGAAATAAGGCTCATGCACTTCGATGCTACAGCTGTGATGTTTTGTTCCATATTTCGTGCATTGGCTTATCCGTTGACGTGTTTCGAAAATCGCTCGACATCCGACATCGGTTTTTTCAAGTTATATGTGATAAATGTCGCGGTACAAGACATCAGAATACGCAACGACCGCAAACAACTACGGAAAAATCTCTCTTTCAGATAGGAACAAACCGTTCACCACGTGGGATCAAACGCCCTCGTGAAAGTACCTCTGTCACCTCGCCTTCTATTGTCACTCCGCGATCTGCACCACCACCAGCGTCTTCGACCCCGGCCGAACCCCAGGTTCAATGTTTCCCACCGATGGAAGACTCAGACTCAGAAGCTACGAAATGCCGCTTCACTGATCGGTCCGTGAATTTCTCAGAGCCTGTCTGTGAACTGCTGAACACCGAGGATCCATGGACCACTCAGAAGCGCAAGGGCCCACGTAATCGAGTTCAGACGTCACCTGCTGATAAACAACTACCCAATCAGTTAAGCGCCTCTAGTTCTGCTCCCACAGGTTCATCACTGATTTCGCTGAGGCGTCATAATCTCATGGTCTTCCACGTACCGGAGTCAAAAGATGAAAACCCTCAGATACGTTATGATCACGATGTTGAGTTCCTCCAGGGGCTCATCGATAGACTCTTGGATGTGGGCGAGGACAGTGTGACGATTAAACAAGTAATCCGACTTGGCCAGAAAACTAACCAGTCATGTCGACCTCTGAGGATCACCTTTGCAAATCCTAATATGCCGCAGCTCATACTGTCTCGTCTGTCAAGGCTGAAAGGCATAAAAGTTCACATCCGCCGAGATTTGGAACCCGAGGACAGGGATCGTTTGAAGACTGCGGTCATTGAGCTCAAACGCCGTACAGAGGAAGGTGAGACTGACTTACAAGTTGTAAATTTTCGGGTGATCAAGAAGGGTGTACGAACCCGTATCAATCGGTTGCTCAACCTCCAGGCACGTCCCGCAGTACCTCCCAGGACCTCCGTGTCGCATTCGCCAACGTGTGCAGCCTAACGAACAAATGTGACGAACTGTGCCGCTTCGCTGTCTCGGAGCGGCCGGACATTTTAGGACTTGCAGAGACATGGTTGAACTCCGACATCATACCCCAAGAAGTCGTGTTGTCAGGATACTCTTGTTTCCGATGTGACCGAAAATCAAAGGCTCACGGTGGTGTTCTGTTGTACATAAAATCGTCACTATCTGGCAAACGTATCAGTACCTATCGGAGCGAGGATAGTTTATGCGAGCAATTGTGGTGCACAATCCGTCTCAGGCGCGGAGAACTAATTGTGGGGGTTATCTACCGGAGCCCATTAAACCGTTGCTGCGATTGGATACCACATGTACAGAAGCACATGAGCCGCCCTCAGTTCTTACTGATGGGGGATCTAAATTTACCTAAGATAATTTGACCAGATGTTCGACTTCTTCCCGGTCATGGCAACGTTGAGGCTCAATTCGCTAAAATGACTATTGAAATTGGGGCAACGCAACATGTCATCCAACCGACGCGCGTAACTCCGTACTCGGCATCTTGTCTGGACCTAATGTTTACGAGCTGCGAGCAGAAGCTAAAAGAGATCAGTCATCGAACCTCTGGCGAACAGTGACCACTGCTCTATTGTAGCAAGCTTAGAACTGTCGTTACCATATTACAATCAACAGAAGCCGACATTCAACTATTGGAAGACGGACTTCAACGGACTTGTCCAAGCCGCAAGTCAGACTGATTGGACACTACCACATGATGCGTCACTTGAGGCGTGGTGGTCATTAATAAAGGGGAAGCTTAACTCGCTCTGTACTCGGTTCGTTCCCCTTAAGTATCCAAAAATCGGACCTGTCAAACCGCACTGGTTTGATAGGGATTACAGACAGTTAGCGCGACGACGTCGTAAACTTTGGGATAAATACATCAGCTCGGGTTGTGATGAAGATTACGCGGTGTACAAGAAACACCGTAACTTATGTAACGCCGCAAAGATCAAGAAACGCCGGTAGTTCGAAGAGGAACTAGCATCCTCGGCCGCAACTGCACCCAAGCGAATATTTGCCTACTTGAAACGTCAACTGAAACCTGGAGACGACCTACCGGTCTTAGAGAGCTTAGACGGGAAGACACTCATTTCAAGCGCGGAGCGGGCGGACGCCCTGGCTACGCACTTCCTCACTGTATTTTCCAGTAAACCGGCGGCTGTTCCAGTACCAGCACAGGTTGCGCCAGTCTTGCTCGACAGCCTACAATGTGATGCAGTCGAAGTACATCAGCTACTCGTCAACCTCAATGGTGCAAAGCCCCCCGGGCCAGACGGACTTCACCCACTAATACTCAAGTCCCTATCGATTATCATCTCACCAGTTGTGACAAACCTTTTCAATAGATCGCTCTCTGAAGGATCTGTCCCCAACGACTGGAAATGCTCGATAGTTAAACCGCTTCCCAAGGGTGGTGATCAGAGTAAAACAGAGAACTATAGACCGATCTGTTTGACTTCGGTATTATCCAAAGTTCTCGAGAAGGTTGTGAAAAAATGTCTGCTGTCGTTCTTCGAATCGATGGACATATTGACGCCAGCGCAACACGGCTTTACGAAAGGGCGATCCTGCATCACCAACTTGATGTACGCAAACCACCAGTGGGTTCGAGCTCTCAATGAACAGAAGGATGTTGACGTGGTGTACATCGACTTTAGTAAGGCGTTTGATAGAGTGAACCACGAGGTACTCCTTCGTAAACTGAGGACATACGGAATCGGTGGCACGTTACTTCTGTGGATACAAGAGTTTATTGTGGGACGAAGGTTTAGAGTACAGGTCAATGACTATCTGACAGAATGGTTCCCATCGACCAGTGGCGTGCCTCAAGGAACTGTACTTGGGCCAGCATTCTTTCTTATTCATATCAACGATCTTCCGCAGCAGCTCCAGTCACCATGTGTCCTGTTTGCAGATGATTTGAAAATCTGGAGGATCATTGAAAACCAGGACGACTGCGCTCGCATCCAGCATGACTTAGAGCGACTGTCAACGTGGTCCACTGAAATGCAACTCCCTCTTAACGCAAGCAAGTCGGAGTTCATCAGTATCACCAGACGTCCAGCCACTCGATCATACACCTTGGACGGCCAGTTGCTCCATCCCAACACATCTGTCAGAGACTTAGGAGTTCTCTCACGACATGATTTAAGATCACTAGAAAATACAGAGAAATTGTACCGTGCGGGACTTCGTATGCTTTGGGCATTACGACGCAGTTTCTCCACATGGTCCGAAGAAACCGTCCCTCGTCTATTCACCTCGCTCATTAGACCAATCCTTGAATACGGTGCCCCAGCTTACCATCCGATAACCCAGTGGGAAACTGAAAAATTGGAGAAAATACAGCATATCGCAACTAGAATGATACCAAGTCTACGAAAACTTCCATATGAAAAACGTTGTGAAAAGCTCGGACTCTACACACTATCCTATCGCCGAGTAAGAATTGATCTTATTATGACCCATCGAGTACTACACTTGAATCACTTCCCCATATTACGGCCAATATTTCACCTGCGAGAACCCTGTAACACCCGAGGACATCGTTACAAACTCAGGGTCCCCAGCATGAACAAAGTATCACATCAGCTTTGTATCGAACGAAGAATCGTAAACTTATGGAATACACTACCTGAAGGATTAATAGAGGCCGATTCTGTGAAGTGTTTTAAAACCCGTATCGACGATTATTTTGCAAACCTGTGCTTTTGTGAAACGATGCACATACTGTGCCAAAAGAATACATTGTATGTCCGGAAATAATGACGCTAGTACAAATTTCTAACCGAACACGGATAAACGATTAACGGACCAGACACAACTGCTGATAATTCACAAGTAAATTTTGATTTTTCGTAATTCGATAGAGTTGTACAGAAACCTTTCTACTTGCTCTTAAATACAGTATCAGTATCAGTATCAGTGTATGGACCCATGTTGCAGCCAATGAGGACGCTGGTGGATGTTATTTCAGGCGCTGCCTGCATACAGACTGCAGACAACGTAGATCTGGTGAAGGCACTTCGACTGTCTGTTGAGCAACCGTTCAGATTGACTGGGCTATATTGCACGGGCTGCAACAACAAAAGATAAAGATGCGTCTTGCGGACACATCGACACTGCATGAGACGCAGAGAGCACTTGCTTAGCTGTAAAACGGCAAGTGTCCAGATGTTGAAACACGGCGGACCCGCGTTGTTACATGCGTTGCACCAGCTGATGCAACGCGTGTGGATTGAAAAGGAAATGCCGATCGAGCTGAGGGATGCCCTTGTGTTACCATCGTAAAAGAACGAAGCGAGCAAGCAATGTGCTACGAATTATCCG